TTTCATCCTCGTCTCCCCTCTATCTTATTCTCTCAACTTTCCTCCTTTCCAAAATACTTCCTCTCCCATTTTCTCCTTCCTCCCTCCCTTTGTTTGTTCACCATCTGCTTCATCCTCTTCTTTTTTCTTTCTTACTCCCTCTCATCTTTCCTCGTTCCCAAAATCCTCACCTTTACCTTCTCTTCTCCCTCCTCCATCTATATGTTCCTCCCCTTAACCTCTCTCTATCCTCTCATCTTGGTCTTCTCCTCTCCTTCTCTCCTCTCCTTTGCGTTTTCTCCTCTTTCCTCTCAAACGCTAACTTAAAAGGGAGAACAGAATGGAGGAGGAAAGTGAGGGGCGTGGGGAGATGGGGGTTGAAAAGAAAGAGAGAGAGTTAAGTTTTTATGCAAATATTTTAATTTTGATGATAAATTTATAAGTGTGAAAGATATAAAGGGCATATACGCAAAATTTTACTTTTTAAGTCTAAATTGCGTCACTTTAATATTTTGACCCTCAGAGTAGTGAGGAGGTCATTGAAGACATAGGCATAGCAATCTAAAATATGACGAACCCCACTCTTTTATGAGGAATAGTGCAAAAGTAGATTAAAGAATATAGTTAAAATTATCCTTTATTACTTTTCTTCACGAAACCCTCACCCAATTCTCCCCCTCCAAACTCGCGAGCAAACCCTGGAATTTGGGGAAAGGGGCAGGATGCATTGCTGGAGATTTGCTAGGGCCTGGGAGCGAGCACCATTTTCAGTATCTTTTCCCTCCCCTCGCTTATGAGCTCAACGACGGCTAGGAGCTGAGCTGATCACTCTATTGTCTCCTCTATCTCTAGTTTCCGTTCTTTGGGCTTCGCCTCCGCCGAATCGAAGAGATGAAGTCGCTTATGGACGCATCATTTGCAAATTGCCATCGGACTTATTTCATTTCCTTTGGGCAAATCAATTGGTTGTCCGCAGGTGACCCTTTATACTCGTCTCCTCGATTCGTTAAAAAGTCCTCTCTTTCCTGGTCACGCCCTTCACGGCGTCAGTCTTCTCAGTTAAGTGTAGGGGAGAAAGCAGACGGCCTCACCACATCTATTCCTTGAATGGCACTTTGACCATTAGTTCGTTTTAAACACCCGACGCGATCAATAACAAGCCGATATGTTCTTTTATGCAATTAATTACCCCGGAAATAATGGGTAGAAAAGAGTTAAGGCTAGTTAGGTGTGGCTCATGGTCTCTTTATTATGGGGATCACCATTTCCAAAGTGCCCTCAGAGTCGCAGACGATACGGTCTTAACATCCTTTACTGCTGTTGGCAATTTTTTGGATGATATATCGTGATTTTTCCGATATGTCAGTTGGTATTTGAGCTTCAAAAAATAGGCCGAGATGTTGCAATACTGATTTGGCTTCTATTTGTTTTAAGAGATTGGTTTGAATTTATAGCTCAATTGAGGTCTAAACCTCAAGAAATGTATGCTTCTGTAATGATTGGAATGAAGAATTATGGCTCAATTGGGATCTAATTCTTTAGTAAAAGTTTTGCAAATGATATTGCCTTTATTGTAGTTCCATTCTTTGGTCCATCGAGTGTGAACAACGATGATATATGCATGTTATCGAGTTGCCCTGATATTTATTAGGTATCTCTGATGTATACCTGATATCTGCTACCTGATACGGAAATTTTCCATTCGACATGTTCTTGAATCGACATGTCCTTGATATCCTGATTTGGACCTACTTCAAAATGAAATTTGATCTCACGTCCTATTCTATCTCAATAGTGGAGATTTGGACATTTTGGCGCTTGAATACTAACCCTATTAATAGAAAGGGGAAAAAAGTGAGGAGTAGTACGGTCATTATAATTTGTCAGCTCCTTTGAAAAGAACGTGATGAGCATGTTTTCAATTCAAAGAGTCGCACTGAAGAAAATATGAGGAGTAATGCATCATGTTTAATAGAGTTCTGGACTAATTAACTGTCGCTATATAGAATTAGGATATCTTATGCCAATGACTAGTTTACACATACTTCCCTCTTTATGTATTTCTATCTTTGTAAAAATTAGTTTCATTACTATTAATGAACCGAGACTCAGTCTCAAGACTTTTTCTTTAAAAAATATTCACCAGGTAAGTTATTCAAGTCCTTTCATTCTTCCAGGTTGGCAAGTTCGTTCAGCTGCTCTCATCATTCTTTGGGGGATTTATAATTGCATTTGTTCAAGGATGGGTTCTCACCCTTGTTATGCTTACCACAATTCCGCTCTTGGTAATAGCTGGGGGAGTCATGTCCATAATAATATCAAAGATGGCATCAATGAGGCCAACAGCTTATGCAGAAGCAGCAACTGTAGTGGAGCAAACAATTGGTTCAATCAGGACAGTAAGTAATATATGCTATAAGAAGTTTGTATTTAGTTACAAATGGAAAACATAATAATTTACAATTGAATGTGTTTTACGTAGGTTGCATCTTTTACTGGGGAAAAACAATCTGTAGACAAGTACAAGAAATCTCTCAGGAGGGCTTATGAAGCTAGTGTTCAAGAGGGTCTCGCTTCTGGGTTAGGTTTTGGTACTGTAATGCTTATCACGTTCTGTGGGTTAGGTTTGGGATTATGGTATGGCTCGAAGTTGATATTGGATAAAGGGTACACAGGTGGTGATGTCATCAACGTGATATTTGCAATTTTGAATGGCTCCCTGTAAGTTGCTAATTTATTTATTTTGTGCATATAGTTATTGAAACCTTGCTGATAAAGGAACTTGCTTTAAGAGATTTTCCTTTGAAAATTTAAATGAAATCATTAAGTTTGTTGACTATTTGAGTACCTAGTCCATTTTGTGTTAGTTTATCACATTACAAAGTTTACAGTATTTTGTTAATGTTGCATGATTGAATCTAATTATTGTTACACATCTATCTCTAGGATCTCTATAAACATCATATATGTATTTGTAGAATTTTTTCCCTCAAATTTTTGTTTGTTTAATAAATTTTAGAAAATTTTCCAGATATTTTCGTACTTCTTTTAAATTTTGTCCCTATTTATTAATAAAAAAAAGAAAAAGATTGGCTTAGCGCTTTTCCTTGCTTAAGCCCCAAAAAGCGTAAGCGGCATTTTCTACTTTCCGCAACCTACACACAACACACTACACACTAGTGGTGCATTCGGTCCAGATACGGCTCAGATATAATACTTAACATATCCATACTCGCTTACTTATCATGGATATGGATACAAATGCGGATATACCTTGATGATAAAAATTTATATCCATATCCACTAAAATTGGATATATAAGCGATATGCATGCGAACACAAAATAAATATGAGAAAACTAGATAATATTGAAAAAAAATATAGTTCAGGTGATACAAAAGAGTTCATTAATACAAAATAAGCGGATTTATAAGTGGGCATGCATGCGAATGAAAAAATATAGTTCAGGTGATACAAAAGAGTTCATTAATATGTTCATTATATCTAAATAGCTAAGATTAGCTATCTTGATCATCAAAATTAATCTCAAATCCATAATATAAGGATTAAATTTATTGTAACAGTATGGCGGATATGCACTCGGATATTTCGGATCCAGATCCAGATATTTTTCTACAAAGTCATATCCATAACCATATCATATCGGTTATAGATTTGAGTAACTATATCTGTATCCTAATAGGATACAATTATAGATATTTTCTTAGATAAGGATACGGTTTAGCACCCCCTACTACACACATATGAGATTACTTGTTGTGCGTTGGCCGATCATCTAGGAAAAGTAAGCTACACAGAAATGATGAGTGATGAGATTCTCTCTTCTATGCAAATTGAAGGGGGCTTGACCCCTATCTTATCTCTTGGTAGTTTATTTAGCTAAATAAGTTGCCATCTCATGCCCTTTATTTTGCTATATATATGTTAGAAAAGTGAGTATCCTCGGTACCGACAATGTTGGTCCTTGATACTGAGGTCTCCACTTCTCATCCATTCATTTAAAGGTACTCATTTATAAGTGGTTCTCACTTTTGTTTTCGGGGAAAGTTGCTGTTTTCATTGCTTTTGAATCTGTTACAACTTCAAGCGTTACAACAAGAATCGATAAAAAGTCGGTCTTTTTATAAGACCTCCTCGTGCAACAAAACAAAGATTACAACTTTATCGAAAATAAACACGAGATCCCGTTTTGGTGCGGTCTCGCTTGCGTGGGTCTTTGGCCTGTGACGGGGACGTCAATATCCGTGGACCACCGGGGCAATCAGATCTGGTCCGGATAAATCAGACAGAGCTTCGTCGATCCGCGTGAGATCTAGAAACTTCTGATCCAGAAATATCGGACAGAGCTTCGTCGATCCGCGTGAGATCTAGAAGCTTAAAGCGTCAATCTCGGCTAAAGCGAGATATTAGCTCTTCTTAGTATTAACGCCAAGGGCTAATACTAAGGATCAGACGGGGAATGGGTGATGAAGACTGATGTAGACCTCTCCTCCTTGGTTGAAGCGCTCGATCACTCTTTGCTGCAGCAGGGCTTCGCCAAGGTTCTCCAAAAATCCAGATCTCCTCAAATGAGGCAAAGGGGTTGCTATTTATAGGCAATGGGGCACCTAGGGGGCTTAGACACCCCTGGGGTGTCTCCAGAAATCCGAGACACCCCTGGGGTGTCTCTAGAAATCCGAGACACCCGTAGGGGTGTCTCGGAAATTCCGAGACACCTTGGGGGGGTGTCTCGGAAATTCCGAGACACCTTGGGGTGTCTCGGAAATTCCGAGACACCCCTGGGGTGTCTCGGAATTTCTGAGACACCCCTGGGGGTGTTTTGGAATTCCTGAGACCCGTTGAGGTGCATTCGATTGTTTTCCCCGTAGATTCTTCGTCCGAACTCGGATTTGAGTGATTCCAGGTGCGTTGGATGCTTGACGAAGAGTTTGATCCGTTCTGGTGATTGGATTATCTGTAGAGTGATCGAGGCATGGATGGTGTTGTCCTTTTTGTGAACACTGCCGGGTTCTCGATTGATCCGGGTCTTCGTTGTTCTGAAATCCTATCCGCTCATGTAGCTCGTCGATTCACTTCAGTCGTTCGTCGACGTCAATTGGACTCCTGTGGCTCGGATAGTGACGTTCATCGTCGCTCTTTAACACTGAACCGTTCGTGGAGACCTATAAGCAATTTTCAATGCTTACAACTTGCTACTCACCCATTAGTTAAGTGGATGAGAAGTGATCACCTCACCACTAAACACCAAATTTGGTCCTTGGTATCAAAGATACTCTTATTCCTCCCCCCTCCCTCTGTATATATGAGGTTAATGGGTACCATATGCAATGATGTGGTTCTATCTCCATAATAGTTCTTTAAGATAATGTTCTTAGTTCAAGAAAAATGCCTGAATTGGTATCTTCTTCTGAGTTTTGTTCTTTTGTAATTTTCTAGTCACGATCTCTATATATTTGCAAACGTTAGCCATTAATTATTGTGCAGATCATTGTAGCTCTTTGTTTACTAACCTAATGCCTATGTAAATTATATTTTTAGTATATATTCAAACGAGAAACAGTGTAAGTGATTATTATTGCAAGAAAATGTCATTGCTAGTCCAATTCCATCATCCATCTCAAGTCTAAATAATATATTGCTTACCAGCGCTTTGGGCCAGGCTTCTCCATGCATAACAGCATTTGCAGCAGGGAGAGCTGCGGCATACAAGATTTTTAAGATAATCAACAGAAAGCCCGAAATTGATGGTTCCAATCCCTCAGGAAAGAAGCTTAATGACATTTATGGAGATTTAGAATTCAAAGATGTTTACTTCAGCTATCCAACGCGAAAAGATGAACAAATCTTCAGAGGATTTTCTTTATTCATAAAAAGGGGAACAACACTGGCTTTGGTTGGAGAGAGTGGAAGTGGAAAGTCTACAGTAATTAGTCTGGTCGAGAGGTTTTATGATCCAGAGGCCGGTGAAGTTCTGATAGATGGTATAAACCTCAGGGAGTTCCAGCTGAAATGGATCAGAGGGAAAATAGGACTTGTGAGTCAGGAGCCTGTACTATTTGCTTCAAGCATTAGGGACAATATAGCCTATGGAAAGGATGATGCGACGACTGAAGAGATCAGAGCTGCAGCTGAGCTTGCTAATGCTGCCAAGTTTATCGACAAAATGCCTCAGGTTGGATGTAATTGAGAACTTGATAGTGAAATTGGTCTTTTGTTAGATTTATCTACTAAACTGGAATTCATTGTATTCAGGGTCTTGATACTTTGGTTGGTGAGTATGGAACACAGCTATCAGGCGGTCAGAAGCAGAGGGTTGCAATTGCAAGAGCCATTCTAAAGGACCCCCGGATTCTACTTCTTGATGAAGCCACTAGTGCCTTGGATGCAGAGTCTGAAAGCATAGTGCAGGAGGCACTTGATAGAGTAATGGCAAACCGAACTACTCTTATTGTTGCACATCGTCTTAGTGCAGTTCGAAATGCTGATACAATTGCAGTCATACATAAAGGTTCAATTGTTGAAAAAGGTGCAATCCTACTAGACACGGTTTTACTTGTACAATCATTTCTCTCATTAAACATTTTCTCAAAAATACTCAAATACTATCTTGTACAGGTTCGCATTCAGAGCTACTAAAGGATCCTAATGGAGCTTACTGGCAACTCATACATTTGCAAGAAATGAGCGAAGATTCAGAAATTTTAGCTCAATCTGGCCGGCACAAGCTTAATCTTTCATCTGATGTTGGAAGGCAGTCTAGCCATCATACGTCTTTGAATCATTTGATAACCTGTGAATCAACATCATCTGTAGGGAACAGCAGCCATCACTCTATCTCAGTACATCCTGTGGGAATTGATTTCCAAGACAACAGATCAGAGGCAAAGAACACTGAAGTAACTTCCCAGGAGATAAAGGAAGTATCTATCAAACGCCTCGCTTACCTTAACAAACCTGAGATCCCCTTTCTCGCAATTGGTTCAATCGCTGCCATTGTTAATGGGACTGTGTTCCCCATTTTTGGAATTTTACTGTCTAGTGCGATTAAAACGTTTTATGACCCTCCTGCAAAGATGAAGAAGGATTCAAAGCTTTGGTCAATGTTGTTTTGTATGCTTGGTGCCATTTCTTTTCTAGCTTTTCCAGCCAGGACATATTTCTTTTGTGTGACTGGATCCAGGTTAATAAGAAGGATACGACTGATGACTTTTGAGAAGGTGGTTCATATGGAGATTGGATGGTTTGATCATCCTGAAAACTCGAGTGGAGCTATTGGCTCTAGATTATCAGCAGATGCCACAGCTGTTAGGCGTCTTGTTGGCGATGCACTTGCTTTATTTGTTGAGAATATCACTACTTTACTTGCTGGTTTAGTGATTGCTTTTATTGCAAATTGGCAACTATCTCTAATTATCTTGGCTCTCTTGCCCTTCATAGGCCTTAATGGATGGATCCAGATGAAGTTCATGAAAGGATTTAGCGCCGATGCAAAGGTTTGGCTTCACAATCTATCAAAATCCATGTTTGAAAAAGTTTTTTTGAAACTTGCTTTGAAAGTTTTTGAAGGGCAAATGTTCAAAACTCAAGAGAGAAGGTTGAAGCTTACGCCTCATCGCTTAAAGCATAACTAAAGTGTGCGATTTGCGCTTCATAAAGAGCTTCGCTTCTCTTTTGAAGTGCAGACTTTAGACAAGATAGGAGGATATAAAAGGATTTTTTATTAACATTAAAATGCCTTGTGTATCTTCAATATGACCATATGAGTGTAAATAAAATATATAAGTTATGCATGTAGCTAGTTTATTATGACATGCATTTATTCTTCACATATTTAATTATTATTTACTAATCAGGACATAAATGCTTCTATTTGTAAATTATTATACCACTATATATCATATGTTCATACTTTTCACAAACTTTAAAATTAAAATACTTAAAACTCATGATCTAAAGCCTACGCTTCGCTTCATTAGTGGGTCCCACATTTCGCTTTGTACTTTTGCTTTTTAAAACACTAGGTGGAATGCACGTGCACTGCACGTGGTCAAATATCGTAATTATTACTTTAATTTTATTTATTTACTATAACATGGTTGCAAAAAACTTTATAATTATCATAATATATTAATATTTTTTGGATATTTCCATGTGTGGTTTTAACATTTTGTCTTTCAGAAAAATAGTGATGTTTAAAGCCTTAAAATATTAATGATTTAAGATTAATTAGTAATTTGAATGTATAATTTCAAAATATTAATGATGTGAGGGATCAAGACGAAAAAACCTATTATTTTTAATGAAAAAATAAATTATTAAATTCATCAAAGAAAAATGGTAGGTTTTATCTAGTTAGTAAGGATTTTGTTCAATCATGAAAAAATCACTTCCAACCTGTTGTTTACTTCCACTTGTTGTTTATCCGGCGACTGAGTATTATAGATATTCAAGAATTTTTTTCTAGAATTTTCTAAGTTAGAATGTGCAAATTCAATCAAGAAAAAAAATATAAATTATGTGATCAATTCCAAAATCTGATGTACTCTTTTTACATCTTCCCACCTACTAATTGATCTATCAAAACGATTACTCTCTAGTTTCAGAAACTTATAAAATATAATCTAAGAATGATTTATACATATTATGCACTCATATTGATTGTACTTTAACAAAATAATTCATATCTATCCAATGTTAAACAATATCAAAAAATTTAGCTTGAGTTAGAAGAATACAATATCTGCAATGATACTCGTATCCAAGCTATGAGCTTCAAAAACTTATAAGAATGTGAGCAATATAAAATGACAAATTAATTTATTTTGTTAAATAATTTATTACAAATCATAAAAGACAAGGGGAATCAGGAGGATCATATACCCATCTCAAATAAATATTAAATTTCTCTTAGAAATTTTTATAGCAAAAGATTTTCAGAGTTGATGTGTAGGATAAATTTAAGGACAAATAACCCAAACCAGTTCATTGAGGGATAGACTTGCTATAAACTCCACTCTCATAAAATTGATGTTACATGTGCCTTAAGTTGTGCTTATGTTTAAGGGTTAATTTTAGAAAACTCCCCCTCAACTATGACTCTATGAAGGGCATGTCAATCTCCCCTTTTCTCCCTATCTCCACCCCTCCCCAAAACTATTTAAAACTGGGTAAATCTTCACTAAGTTTTGGGTGTTTTGTAGATAATCTATATCAACTTAAAAAATTTTAATTTAACCCATGTGAACTTTTCTCACTTAAATCTAACCTCTCAAAACTAATATCATTGAATCTTATCTATTATGTGACAAGTACTTGACTTGGAAAGACCAAAATATCAATCAATCATAAAAGAATTACCTTGGCTTTTGTCATATGAAAGAAAAAGATGTGATATAGAGGGAAAAAGAATTGTAAATTGGTTGTGGTCCTTTTATTATTGGTTGAGGATTTCTTTTTAATTAAAATTGTTCTCTTCAAGAGGGTATTTTTTCCAAATCACATATTGAATTAACTATGTTAAGAGGGTTTGTTGATAGAAGTGTAAAAGATTAGGAGAGTTTTTATGAGACGCTACAGTTGAGAGGTGTTTTCTAAAATTACACAAAAATTGAGAGGTGTTATTTATAACACCCCTATAATAAGGGGGTTTTATCAAATTGAATTAGTTAAGTGGATTTTTAAGACAATCCCTATAGTTGGGAGGATTTTTTTAAATTAACTATTCTTTTAAATATGGATTATTTATAATTTCTCCCTCAAAATTTTAATAATTTAATATTAGTCCCTAAAATTATGAGCAATTTAAAAAATTTGAGGGAATAACATAGAAGGATTGGATATTTAAAATCAATGAACTAATATCTAAATAACCTTCACATATTTGCTCTTACAGGCATCCTATGAAATATCGGCCGATATATTGCTATATCGGCTAATATATCGGGTTAAAGACTTTATCTCGGTAATATTTTATATTGTTTTCTTTTGTTTGGTGATTTTTTTGGTATATCGATCGTTATCGAAATATGGCTGATATATCCCTTTAAAGATATTAAGAAAATCATGTCATTTTTAATTTGATTATGGGCTCGGGTTTGGATCGTGTTTGGGAAACAAAATTGGAACCCACAAAACTCACAAAGACCACAATTCTTCTCCCAAATCTCTCCACTCTCGGTTCTCCCAAATCTTAAGCATATGTCTTAATGCAAAGTCTTATGTTTAAAATTCATTAATATGTTAGATAGTATGAATATTATCTCATGATACCCAATATTACATACACATCCCTGATTTTTTGCAATCTGATATCATTGATTTTATTTTTTCAATATTTATCTGATGTCCAACACTTTGTAGTAGTCCTTCAGAGGCCCCTTCTAAAGTTTTCTAAGCGAAGGATATAATTTCAGGAAATAATTCAAAATCTTGAGACTCATTCAAAATATGATACTTCAATTTTTCCACATCTCCTCTACTATATAAATATAAAGCTTAAGCATCTGGTCTCATATTATATGATGAATATTATTTATCAATGGGATCATATACTATTGTTTGTGGATAACAAAGGTTTCAAATCTTTTATAGGCTTAACTGAACTTAAATACCTTATAGTTTACCACAATTGTACTTATATATCTCCACTTGTATCTTGCTGCACTTCTTTTTTAATTTTAGATAAGGTATCTTGCTGCACTTAATTATCCTGATGTTTTCTAAAATTTAATGTTTGTACTTTCTGTCTTGTTACCTAAACATAAGAATGCTCTTTGTGATTTTCCTATATGAGTTTCATGGTATAATTTTAGGACAATTCTATGTTTTTTACTCTTTTTTCCTGAATACTTTATTGAAATGCAATTATCTATTAATATATAATTTTACATTACTAATAATTAATATGATGTAGAGTTTTACAATAACGTTGGAAGTTTTAAGGACCAAACTATACAAACTTAAAGTGACATATAATATAATTAATTAACATTTAACAATGATAATTAATTTAGTTTAGTTAGTATTAGAATGTAATATCAAAAAAGAATAGGGTAGTATAGTCCTTGGAAAGTTTCTCCACAACTCCCTCTTTTAAAGGGAGTATGATATGATTGGTCAAAATCATTTGTTCATAATGAGCGGTAGGCAAGTCATTGAATATTATTGCTCTTACTACTGTTTCTTTGTTTCTTTTTTGAGGTCAGGGATTGGATGAGAGAGATCTGAGGCAATGACAATTCAGATTATTTAATATACAAATCTGAGATGTAATAACTGGGCAAATTACTATAAAAAAATACGGTTAGATATTTGTTGGTGAGACTGACAGATAAGATGAAAAGAATAGGTAAAGTGTTTCCTTTAGTTGCACCAATTTGTGGCACCTTGATTGCAAAGAGGACTAGGTGAATGTCGGGTTACGTTAAAACACCAAAAATTTTCTCATGTTATTTCCTAGAAATCATGTCGGTAACCACTACATTTGGAATGTTAACAAGGTAGAAGGTCTGGAAATTGTACAGTTAACCAACCTGATAGCAATATTGCGAAGATATATGTTATAATATATGAAGTCAGGTAAATGTTATGTTTTCTGGCGAGCCATTAGTTTTTACATTTAATTCTCTAAAGAAAATTTGTTACCTAACCTAGAAGGCGATCTTCATCACCTCCACATCTAAATCTCTTCTTCATCAGACATCACCGTGGGTACTATTCTCCCAAGAAAAAAAGTGAGTTATCGTGCTTGGCTCAATCCCAAGAAAACTTCTATGGGGTGGTTTCCAACGGTTTACAACCAACTACTAATTGTTAAACTTCTCTATATGGCAATCTAGGAACCTATCAGTTAATGCCCCAGAAAACACTAAAACTTTGCTCTTGTTGGTCACACAGATTAAGCTCTTACTGTCTTACAACAAAATACCTATATCTAAGTTCCTCTAGTGTAAAAGATATAATGTGATGAAACTTTGAAAATTGATGGTTCTTTATCTCAAAATGTGTACAGGAAAGGTATACCGTGATGAAACTTTGAAAATTGATGATTCTTTATCTCAAAATGTGTACAGGTGATGTATGAGGAAGCAAGTCAAGTTGCAAATGATGCAGTGGGGAATATAAGAACAGTTACTTCTTTCTCGGCTGAAGATAAGGTGATGGAACTGTACCAGAAGAAATGTGAAGGACCTACAAAGATAGGAATCAGGCGAGGATTGATTAGTGGTATTGGTTTTGGGGCATCCTTCTTCGTGCTTTATTGTTCTTATGCAGCCTGTTTATATGCTGCTGCACGCCTTGTAGAGGATGGAAAGATTGCATTTGGAGAAGTTTTTCGAGTGCGTCCCATCTATTCTTCCAAAAAGATTTTAGTTAAATTCAATATTAACTTCTTTTTAGTTACAGTTGCATTCTACAGTTGTGGGTAAACGGTAACACGAAATATTGAATCATTTAGTGTAATTATTGCAATTTCCAGACATCATCAAGACTTTTTGACGTGCACGTTAGAGATTTGATAACTGAAAGTAGCTCCACACAGAACATCTAGAATTAAGCAAAAGGTTCACCTTTGCTTGTGAAATTAAATTCATTCGTGATGTTTTTATTACGTGTATTTATCAACACAAATGCGGTATAACATAACTCAATTGAAGTTTAGAGAGACAGTGAATGTCAACTAAAGGTCTTTAGTAAATAAAGTACATATATATATATCAAATCTTGGATAAAAACAATAATTACCTTCTTCTATTATGCATATGGCCACTATTATGATTAAAATTTTAATTCTATTTAAACTGTTGGATATCATTCACAGTATTTTTCTTCTCATATAGTAGATCAATGTTAAATCCTCATCTCAATGTGAGCAGGTTGTCTTCGCTCTCTCTCTGTCAGCCATTGGAATTTCTCAAACAAGTGCCGCAGCTTCAGATTCTAGCAAAGCCACAGCTGCTGCAGCTTCTGTGTTTGCAGTTCTTGATCACAAGTCTAAGATAGATGCTGATGATGATTCCATGATGAAATTAGAAAGTCTAAATGGAAACATTGAGTTCCGGCATGTCAGTTTCAAATATCCAACAAGGCCCTATGTCCAGGTTTTCCGAGACTTATCCTTGTCAGTTCATTCCGGAAAGGTACATATAGTATCACCATCTACATGTTTCTAATTGTTTTCACGAATTAAACAAATATAGTGCTTAGTACAAAAAAAGTTCTCGGCTAACCTCCATCAGTTGAAATGATGGTATGTCATTTTTTTCCCTGCGCTTTAATGTTATTCTGAAGATGCTTAGTTGATATATAATGTTTATGTAAAAAGTTTGGCGCATTACTAGAGTTTGTATTATTTGTAGAGAAATAAGTTTTGGTATGTTAGAAAAGATTAGTACAACCAAGAGGAAGATGCATATTCTACATAGGAGAATTTTTTTTAAAATTTTTCAATTTTTATTAGTAAAATAGGCCTTTTTTTGCTTTAATTTGCAAAATGGACCACTTTTTGTTCAGGTCATTACGACTAGCTAAAAAATGGTCGATTTTGCAAAATAGAGACTTTTAAAAATACGAGACGACTAGTCCCATGTAATAGTGGTCACTAATTAAGGGTTAATCAGATTAACAGTCCCGTGTATTTTAAAAGAAGCAGATTAACCCTTAATTAGTGACCACTAATTAGGGGTGCATTCGGTCTAGATACGGCTCAGATATGATACTTACCATGTCCATATCCGCTTACCCATGTCAGATACGAATACTGATATATCTCGATAAGAAAAAATCAAATCTATATTCGCTAAAATCGGATGCGGATATGAATATACATGCAGATTTATTAGCGGACATGCATGCGGATGTATAAGCAGACATACATATGGATACAAAAAAAGTGTGAGAAAACTAGATAGTATTGGAAAAAATATAGTTCATGTGATACAAAAGAGTTCATTAATATGTTCACATATCTGAAAGCTAATATTAGACATATTGATCATCAAAATTAACATAAAATCCATAATCTGAGCATTAAAACTATCGTAAAAAGTATGCCTAATTTATATACGGATATTTTGGTTACGAGACCGGATATTTCACTACAAAATCATATCCGTAACTATATTCTATCGGTTATAGATTTGAATAACTACATATGTATCATAATGGATATGGTTACGAATATTTCCTCAGATACGGATACGGTTTAGCACGCTTATCACTAATTACACAGGATTAGTAGTCCCGTGTTTTTTAAAAGCTTTTAATTAGCAAAATAAACATTTTTTGGCCAGCCATGACATGATGACGTGGTCAAAAAGTAGTCGATTTTGCTAATTAAAGCATAAAACGGTCACTTTTGCAAATAAAATTTCAAAAATGGTCTTTTTAAAAATTTCTCCTTCTATAAAATATTTTTCGTGATCAAAACTGATAAAACATAGGGTTGATATTAGTCCCTCAAAATATTTCATAGGTCGAAATTAGTCCCCCAAATCATTTGAAATTGCTATTATGTCCTCAAATCAGATAAGCTATTTGAAATTAGTCCCCCTCGTTAGCACCCGTTTGAATTGAGGGGAATATTCCTTCGACTTTAACTTTTTTGGAGCAGATTGCTAGTTATACGCTTTCTAATATAAACTCAAACCTGATGTAGAGCGAGAGAGATTGGTGTTGATTTTGGATTTCTTAAAAGATGAAGGGGGGAGGGATAGTTACTTGATGAGGTTTTATTTGGTAATTACTCATCCATAGTTAAGCACTAATCCAAGCATGGTTACAAAATGACTAATTACAAACATTTTAAACGATTTAGAGAACTAACAGAAATTTTAATGATTTGAGGAACTAATCTCAAATTATGAAAGATTCAATGGTCAATATTGAAATAATCCTAAGACAATCAATCAACAACATTCTTATAGTTGGCATTTGATCCTTTGTCATATAAATTCAATTGCATTGATTCAAGTCTTCTGTTTTTCCTATACGCTTTTCCTACTATATATTAGTTGTACCTTATCACGCGCAAACAATCACCATGTTGAAGTGTAGGATCTGAGACGCAAGCCTAGAGGGCCGCTGAATAAACTTGTACTGTTTTTTGCTAAAACACAGAATATTCAACGGAAAAGATAAAATAAAAGTTATTTTATAGTGCTTCGGATAACAATCATACGTCCACTTTTCTCACATAGGAGTTTTCTCACTATTCAAAAAGTTCTTCCGAATCACAAACATATTCAATAGGCTTACAAGACCGCCCCAATGAGTAACACCTATCCCTAGCTAGATCTAATTCCTCAATTCGCCCACCGCTTGAGTACGCTGTAAGAAACAAGTTTAATTCAAATAAACCAATATTAATTATGTGCAATACAAAAAGATCTTACTGTCTTTTTGATAAAACAAACTTGTTAGACCTTGGGGGGTAATTAGAGTCTTATGCTAATCTAATCCGATTTTATGCTAATTAAAAACTTATGAATAAATTATTCTTGCAAGATAGATATACAATATGTTATGAATAAGAATATGCAATATGAACAAAAAGATATATTCTACATGATGAAATATATGCAAGGATATATAAACAACACAAGGGTAAACAATCTAAACTAAAGATACAATTGTGATATGGCAATATAAACAATGCAAACACACAATATAATCACGGAGTTCGGACCTTCCGTCCTACGTCTCTGCTCCTCACTCCCGGGGAGAAATCCACTATCACAACCGGGTTTTCTACGCTCACCCGAATAACGTTTACACCTCACACTCTGTTTTCTAGCTAACCGAAAACTCTACAATATCACACTATCAAACCGGGTTTTTTATGCTCACCTGAATAACGTTTACACCACACAATATCGGTTTTCAACGCTCACCGATCAACGATCACAATCTCATAATATAACTAAACTCCACACTCTCTTAGTGTTGGTCTCTAGTTCGTATCCTTTCTCAAGTGTTCGGATACAACCTCTCCTTAGGTTCGTCAACCGATGTCACTCCTCTTGGAAGCGACCCCGTCTCTCACCACACACTCCTCTCGGTGTACTAGTGTAATACAAAGTGAATCTCACAATAAGCACAATACAACAAATGATTATTCTCTAATATGAATGAGAACACAATATAGGCTCACTCTTAATTGTTACAACTCCCTACAATCTAAATTATACTAAGTATGAAAATACAATAAGCTCAATGGTTGTGTGTGTAAGCAATGAGAAAATCAATTATAAACTCAATGTAAATCCTAGCTTGATAAAAATGATAAACAACAAATAATTAATATAAAGCTAGTATTGAGTTTAGAAATTCTTCTCTGAAGAAACAAGATGGAGAGATGGATTAAAATGAAGCTCAAACAATGTAGATGATCTCCTCTACTTATAAGAAACTTCTTCACAAACAAACTCTTTTAAAACACACTAAACAAACTTTAAAACCCTTGTTAAACTTGTTTAAAACATTTCTTGAGTTATTTGGAACTGAGGATATGTGGGGGTATTTATAGGAATTCCAAAGCTAAGAGAAAACAAGGCAAAAAGACCAAAACCCAAAACCAGTACAGTCTGAAAATATAGCCGTTACAAAATTATGAGTCGACTCAGTACTGTTCATGAGTCGACTCATAAGTAGCCGTTACAGGCTAAAAACCAACTTATGGGTCGACTCATAAAATTCATGAGTCGACTCATCATGCATGGATCGGCTCATGAAGTCATGGGTCGGCTCATGAAGTCAACCTGATGGGTCGACTCATGATGTTATGAGTCGACTCGTCAGAAACAAAATGTAAACTACACAACAGTTTATGAGTCGACTCAACACTGTTCATGAGTCGATTCAAGACATGCACACTGTCTGTTTTAAACAGAAATCTGATTTTCAAACCTCTTTTAAAAATAGTAAATAAAATCAGAAAAATGTAATACTTTGGGAAATGATTGTAAACATGATAATAAACATGCTTCAAAAACTGGTTTACAAAAGGGACATCCCAAATAAAAAATATCATTATTTTGCAAAATAGTCCAAAACATGAAAATGTAAACACACGAGTTTTGATATTTTAGCTTAATCATGTTTTGAAACAATACAAAATAATTTTGGAGACTTGATAAAATATGTATATGATTATTGTTAAGTCCAAAAACTGAGAATACAACATTTTCACAAAATTGCATATTTTACAAACTTTTTAGAAATAATAAATATGATTTCATTGAACTAAATAAAATTGATATTGATGAAATCATATATAACTATATATATATACATAAAAACCAATATAATGTGTGTGTATATATGATTGAGCTTAAAGTACCAACACATAATATAACACCTAAACTAAATGTTACCCAAGCAATCTTGATCTTCAATAAGCTTGACTCGGTACACTTGGATGAAACATGAACTTGGATCTTCAACTTGAATTGCATGGCTTCACTTCACTATTCCGCCAACCTCCATTAAATATGATCGTGAATGCTCGATTCTATCCAACCTCCAACTCGTTGTTTATCTATAGTAAACAGAAATACACCAACACTAGACAAACAACATTAGTGGTAAATTATTTGTTAAATATCATCAAAATAAAGAGGCCAACAAAACTGTCTTTCAAAGAATATAAGAGAATCTTGGTGAAGAACGGTGATGAAGATCAATCCAAGGGCAACTCTCATTGCTACAATAGATCCGGTGTAGTGTGCGTTTGAGGCTCTGGGGGTCAAAACGTTCAATGAAATCTTCTCAATTCAAAACCCATGAACTCTCTTTTCTATCTCCTTCAATGATATATAGTCCCCAATAGGTCAGGAAGAGATATCTTAAATATTGTAGAGTTTAGAGATTAGAGGAACGACGAACGACCGAGATTAAAACTTAAAATCTGCAATTAGCCGATGTTACCATCGATGATTACTCTCGACCATCGATGTTGTCGAGGCACTATCAATGTGTTACTGCATGCCATCGATGATCTAAAATCTTCTCTCTGGAAATCATCAATTGGTTACTGTAGCCATCGATGAGCTCACCTATCATCCATGAGTCACCATTGACCATCGATGGTAAGGTGGCTGAAATCAGCTTTTGAGTTGATTTTCGCATTGTTTCGCCTCGTACACTTTTTATACCTATATTTACATGTACTATATCATCTCAAACAATTATTAATACCAAATGAGAGTTTGTTAGTACTCAAACAAGAGATATTATATGGTCTACATCCTAACATGAACTAATGAAAGCCATCTCTGAAGCCTGACAAGCTCCATTTCATTTTTCAGACTCTTGCATTGGTTGGAGAGAGCGGAAGTGGTAAATCAACCGCAATAGCTTTGTTACAGAGATTTTATGATCCTGATTCAGGTCATATATTGATAGATGGAATTGAGATAGAAAAGTTTCAGGTGAAATGGCTGAGGCAACAGATGGGTCTCGTAAGTCAAGAGCCATCCTTGTTTAACGACACTATTCGGGCTAACATTGCTTATGGAAAAGGAGGAGAAGCCACTGAGGCTGACATTGTTGCTGCTGCTGAGTCATCAGATGCCCACAAGTTCATATGTAGCCTGCAGCAGGTTTGCTCTGACCCGTGAATAAATTCCGAAATTCTAATCCCATCATCTTCTTCCTGAACCTCCAAGAAATTTTCTTTCTTTGGACTTTCTATAAGAGCTTACAACCAAATAGGAGGAGGATTTTGTTGACTCTCTAGCTTCTCCTAGTGCTTATTCTCCTTTATCTATTACTTTGTTATTTTGATATTGTCCCTCAAATCTTTCATATTTTGGGATTAGTCTCTCAAATCATTGAAATTAATATTAAGTCCCACAAATCATATAAAAGATAAAATGTTTGCAGTTAGTCATCATTTATAAAATCTGTCCAATTTGTTAACCATGGTCGGGTTAGTGCTAACTATTTACCTATGATAGGTAATTATTAAACTAGCCTAACTATGTAATGCCCGCCCACGAACATTAATTTTCCCTCTCTCTAGCTCCCACTCCATTTTTTCGGAAGGGGGGAAAAATCCCTCTTTGTCACCCCCAAAATCAACATCAATACCCTTGTCTCTCCCCCCAAATCTGGTGGGGGCTGCATTAACTTATGTTCCACCCAAATAAATTAGAGTTCAAGGAATGTTCTTCCCAACTCAAATGATGCTAATTAGAGGGTTTCAAACAACTTATATGATTTCAGCGAACCTAACATCGATTTCCATGATTGGGACTTACCCCAAATACGAAAGATTGTAAGGGACTAATACAAAATAGCCCCAAGATTTTTTTTATACTCTGTCTGATTTTTGAATTATAGGGCTACGATACTTCGGTTGGAGAGCGAGGGATCCAGCTATCAGGTGGTCAGAAGCAACGGGTGGCAATTGCACGCGCAATTGTGAAGGAGCCCAAAATTTTGCTCCTGGATGAGGCGACGAGTGCACTTGATGCTGAATCTGAACGTGTCGTTCAGGAAGCATTAGATCGAGTTATGGTAAATAGGACCACGGTAGTTATCGCCCATCGACTGTCTACGATCAAAGGTGCTGATATGATAGCTGTTGTTGGAAATGGTACGATCATAGAGAAAGGAAAGCACGAGACGCTGATGAATATCAAGGATGGGGCATATGCCTCCTTGGTAGCACTTCATTCAAGTTCAGCTTTATAATTACACCATTGTTTTTATTGACGAAATTATTGAGTTTCAGTTTTTTCAACCATGTCACTTTGCATCTCATAAGTAACTATTGTTAAATTGTGTTACAATGTGATTGGAAATAATCTTAATGCAAAATCTTTGGCATGAACTAATGATATATTGTTTACAATTTCTCCGCAATCATACTCACTTTATAAGCACGTGTTTCGGAAAATCTTTCGATAGACAAAAATACCCTTAAAATTCAAATAATAATCCATTAAGTAAGAGTAAGTTGATAAATTTATGAATTCTTATTGGATATACATAGTATGAAGATAAGAATATAGTTTAAATTAAACTGTAAACCTAAATAAAATTATTAAATGCTAAATTTACAAATGTCTACAAGATAAAGGGTGTATATGCAAAAATTAAATAAATTAACAAGACAAATAATGTCTGTCCCAAAGGTCAAACTCAAGAACAACACAGACCTACAAATTTACATAATCTGGATGTGATATTTGCAAAATCCACCAAACAAATTAAAGAGACAAAAGTCATTCTCAACATTATAAAAAAGAAAAATCAAAACAAATAGTTGTGACCTGAGGACACAGCATGACGATCTCTCACGGACTAAAATTCAAGTAGTTCATGGTACTGTATAATTAGTTTCAAAGTTTAATTATATTATTATTATTTAAATAGAACTCTATTTATAATTGTTATCCTCTCACATGCAACATCACGTACCAATATATATAAGCCAATAAATTACAATAATTTTCATAACACTTTTATCTCCTTTAATAGGTATGTGCTTTTGTTATTTTCTTCTTATTAGATTAGATTAGATTATTTTAAAATAATTTATTATATTGTATATTTAATCTTTTCATATTAAGAAATAGCAATAATTTTCACAACACTTTCATCTATTTTCTTCTTATTAGATTAGATTAGATTATTTTAAAGCAATTAATTATATTGTATTTTTGCTTTTTTCTAATCAGAAATTGTAATAATTTTCATAGCACTTTCATCTCTTTCAACAGGTATATGCCTTTATTATTTTCTTCTTATTAGATTAGATTATTAGATTATTAGATTAGATTATTAGATTAAATTAGATTTTTAAAAAATTATGAATAATAAAATTACAATAATTTTCACATCACTTTCATCTATTTTCTTCTTATTATATTAGATTAGATTATTTTTAAGTAATTAATTATATTGTATATTTGATCTTTTTTACATATCGCAAAGTTTAATTATAATATTATTATTTAAATACATAATTTTTGTATAAAAGCCAAAGAGAATTTCACATGTATCTTAGATCTCAATGTCAATTGTAATACTTACATATATGTGTTGGTTAAAATACATTTCATGTATAGGCTTAACTTATATGATCCTACTTTAACAATTATATAATTTAAATTTTTTACACTCAAACTCTTCCACAAAGCCAAAAAAGAATAGCAATGCTATAGCCCCCACACACACACACACTATTTTCAAAACCACCATTCTCCATCTCCATCTATAATATATCCACATATCTAGATTAAGCTTCTAGAATTTCTCTCCCACCACCTACACCATTGATCAACTCTCCTTTTGTCATTTGTACTTAAATTGTATAACATTCATTGTGATGATGATTCACTTGGGTCCTCTACCTGCCTTTAAGGCACAATAAAAAATAATGTATTAGGCCTTGTAGTTAGTTAATAATGAGATCCTGTCATTATAAACAAATTAAGCAAATATTAATAATTTTTAAGAATGTACTACGTTCCCCTAGCTTTCACTACAAACTGTTAGGTCTCATGTTTATGAGCATATTGTCTAATCTAGTTTTGATGATTAACAAACAATTCCTAACATCGTTTTTTGAGTGTTTGCATTTTGTTTGTTAGGTATTCTACACAAAGATCATCTGTCGAAGGTTGGTTGGAATTGATCACAAACGTCGACGATATCTTGGAGGTTGGTGGAAAATCGGAATGGAGCCATCGCAATTCAAATCAATATTCATCATCTCTTCATTCGCAATCAAGACGAGCTTATTGAAGATCTATTGCTTGGGTATAGTAGTTTTAGGTTTATACTTTATGTGTTTATACTTAGAGGTCAAACCATACACACACATTTTATTCGTTTTTATTGTTTTACATATTTGTTTCATATTTATCCCATTATACATTTTGTTTGGGAAAATTACGTGTTTACGCATTAAAGACTTGACTATACTATTTTGCATCTTTTATAAAGTCTATTAATCCACTCAAAAGAAGTTTCAAACTTGTTTGAAATTATTTTATCAAAATCAAGTGTTTAAACGAATTAGTATTTTGACTATTTTGTAAAATGATGAGTTTTTACAAATGAGAAATGATATTTCAAAATTTTCTTCTCTAACATATTTTCATGTGAATAAACATTTCCCTGAGTTTCACAATTTTTGGAATTTATTTACTATTTTTAAACACACTTTGAAAATCAGTTTTACTGTTCATATAAGGGTTGTGCACGTTTTTCGGTCGACTGTCTGTTCATATCAGTCGACCGATAAATTGCTCTGAAATTTTATTTTTGTTTCTGCTTAGTCGTCCAATCCTTATCAGTCGACTGAACAGTATTATCAGTCGACCGATAGCTTATTTTTTTTTGCCTGTTCAGTCTATCAGTCGACCGATGAGGTTCATCAATCGACTGATAATGGCTAGTTTGCCTAGTAACGACTAGTTTTGAACTGTTTTGTTTGGGAGGTTATATACATAGCATTCAAGCCTTGTTCTTGAGACATGGATGTTTAAGTGAGTTTATATAAGATTATTTTCAAGAGTTTTAAGTGTTTTTTTATTTATGCAAAAGAATTTTACAAAGAGAAGGCTTTTAATTTCGGTTTTGAGGAGGTCAATCTCAAACATCTATATCTACATCTTTTTGTTTAGAGAAGTTTTTCTAAACTCATTCTCTAGCCTATTTATATTTTTGATTATCATATTTGAGCTAGATTTAAATTGAGTTTAATTTTTGTTATTATTCATTGTTTACACCCACCCACCCACTTGAGCTTAAGTTATATAACATATCATATATTTTGGGTTGTGGGTATATTTCATTGAAAGAGCTTAATTTTTGTTCTCATTCATATTAGAGAACAAATCTTGTATTTGCACTTTCATTGAGAGATCATGTTGTAATACACAAGGACACTTAGGAGTGGTTGGGAGAAGAACGGGCTCAATTTTAAGAGGAGAGACTTGGTTGTAAAAGTCTAGGGAGAGGTATAATTCCAAGCACTTGAGAAAGATGACACGGGTAGGCCAACACTTAAAGGAGTGTCTTGTGGGATTGACAACATGTGATTTGTAACGTTATCGATGAGCGTTGAAAATCGAATTGTGTAGTTGTTATTTGTGTTGATAGTGGAGATTCTCCTCGAGGGTAAGGAGCGGAGACATAGGTCGAGGGTTGACCAAACTCCGTGATCATTCCTTTGTGTTTGCGATTGTCTTGGCGCACTTTTATATTTGTTATTATCTTGTGCATGTTTATATCGCCTATTGTGCCATGCATATTTGTCACGCCCCGCTTCCCAAAATACACAGGAACCGGAACGTGAACAAGCCCGCGACGTATTAGATCAA